ATCAGGAGAAATTTCAGCTGGTTCAAAACGATCGACTATCATCCTTGCTAGGAAGCATTGCGCGAGGGAAGCCAAAAACGGTCAATCGTTGCAAATCGCCCCCGCAGACTATGACAAGCCAGAGATCACTGTTTCTTTTTTTTTAAACTTTTCACGCTGATTGAAGTTCATATTGGCTTCCAGCACAAGGAAATGGTTCAAAAGGTGAAGAACTCTAAGTCAAACATTTCCCCGCACACTGCCTTTAATCATTTCCTATGGATTCCTTTTTCTTGGCTTACTGTTTAAAAAGCATTCTTTTGCGTTGAAGGATAAAGAAGTTCCATTCTCAACGGAAACACTCTTATCTCTGTTTAGCAATTACACACAGAAACACAGCAAAGAGATGGAAGTCTTGAATCGCTCACCAGCTCCGAACGTCAGTTGCAAATGTATGAGTTAACCAATCAAAGTATGATGTTACGATTTCTGCTCAACTAATCCTTACTACTTCAGCCATGACATGATGTAATGTTGCTTATCAAAAATTTTATTTCGGGCACGACATCTTAACTAAATTTGGAGTATCCCACTACATAAGCATTTGCCTAGTATCATGAATGAACTGAACGAGCCAGTGCATCGTTTAGCACATTCTTACGCTCCGCATTTTGCAGTGCGCGGAGATTCCTCGCCTGAAAGCACATTCTTTTACAAATAACTTGTTGCAGACAACTAAACCCACCTACCTTTCTCTTCTGGTTCCACTTGAACAGAAAATAGATTCCTACGTAGCTGGCGAGCGCAGCACGGCAGATGTTGGCACGACCAAAATGCTCGTGTGGATTAAGGTATAACCTCTTGGTGGCAACAATCTGCTGCCAATATCCTCGCAGAACATCAGCCATTCCTGTCTTCATTACAATAGAGAAGAACGGTGATATTTAGAATTGCTTTTAGAAGTATGATATGGACACAAAGCCAACAGTATCGCCTACATTTCACTACCTCAACCTTTATAACTGCTTTAAGAAATATGTTAATCGACTTCAAGTCACATGAAATAAACAGAAGAACGTCAACCATACGCGCATACTATTAACCGCAGTGATGTCGAAGAATTGGTAACACTAGTTTGAGAGGGCAAAACATAAGTTAACCGGTTTATAAGAGATATAATGTGAGTGTGCCTTTCAAAGGCCAATCTCAACGTCTTTAAAGGCCAAACAACATCTGAATCAAACTCTAAGAAATACTCCGAGCACATAATGCGAGAATACTATCACTATAGCAGTGATGACTTAGAAAACACTCCGGCTTAGAACTTGAAACTTCCAAACATTGAGCACCCTACAACATGAGAACGACGCACTCGGCGTAGGAAAGACAAAAATTCTATTGCCTCCTTGCCGCTTCAACATATCTAGTAATATAGAAAGCAATCCCGCATAATAGTTACATGCTACTTAGAAAGAGCTAACGGAAAATGCATTGAAACTAACAAAAGAGAATGTTTCATGTACGGCGAACTCACGAAAGTTGACGCAAAAAACAGCATCTAAATCACAATTCTAGTTAGCTTATTTACACGTATCGAGAGTGTTTGCGAGTAACTTGGCGATTGAATTGAAGTGCGTATCGTTACAAAGAAGAAGAAGCCATTCAGCTAACATTTGCACATCCGCGTCTGACACTTGTGGCAAAAGCTCCCTCCACCTTTGCAGAGTGCATGACCTTAAAGAAGTGTATGGCTGTTGGAGGAACTCACACGATAATATAAATAAATAAATTGATAATCGAGATAATTCCTGCTCAAAAAA